CTCATGCCATCCACCCCTCTTGGCCTCCCAAAGTGCTGGGATTACAGGCGTGAACCACTGTTCCCAGCCCCTTGTTTCATATCTAATAAAACTAAGGATCAGAGGGTATATGAAACTTGCCAAAGTTCTCACAGTTACAGCTAGGTAGAGTTAAGCCCAGGGATTAAATCCAGATGTGTCTGATTCCAGGCAGAGTTAAATCTAGGGATTAAATCCAGGTGTGTTTGATTCCAAAGCTTGTGCCCATACCTGATGTGTTATATTGAGTCCTGAGTGTGTCTACCTTAAGGCTGCTGCTCCTCACTTTTGAAATAGTGAGTGGCACCCAGATCTTTGACTTCTGTCTGGTCCATTGTTCTCACAAATATACTATGCTTTCTCCCCTGCCACCACTTTCCTTAGAGGTAAGACACTGGACAAGTACATGAGCCCTTCTGGAGAGGAATGGCACAAACAGGTGACTAAATTAGGGACTTCGTAAATCTGAAAAGATTTGCATGTGTTTGGGACTTTCCTTCCCAGCTTTCTTCTGATGAAGTGAGATAGAGGCAACTTGTTCTTCAAAGGGGTTTGTTACCTACTTGGAGGTGTAGAGTTAAGCCTGACAGAAAGACGGGGCGGATAAGTGTTTAGTATCATACTTGTACTTTTGCTGTCACTAAGTAGTTTGCTGGTTTGTCATGAATCAGGCATAAATATTAGAAATACCCAAGTCCTGATCTGACTCCTAGATATTCCACTCTAGGAAGTCTGGGACAGGATCTGAGCATCCATCATCATCTGTTTTTCTTTTGAGTCTTCCCTGGTGATTTTGATGTGTTCTATCAAATGGAGAACGCTTCAAGTTGTGGAATGGTTTATTTCTATAGTTGTTCCTTCTAAACCAACTTCAGGTACCTGTTGCTTGTAGTCTAAAGCCGGAATTAATTATCATCTGTGGTCATTAGCAGGTCTGAATGTGCCAGTCCAGTAGGTAGCAGGTGCTATCCAATATGTTTTTGAAATTTGTCTTGCTGAGTTCAGCTTATTTTGTACACTTTGCATTTTCCTCCTCTAGAGGGCTCCAGAGCTAAGCTGAGCAGACTGGCTTGTACCCTCATTAGACAAGAAGACTAGCCAGTAAGATTTGAGCTTTTATTCGTTGGAGGAACTAATGTTATATTATCTTTTAGAGCTTCCTATTCTTTTCTAGTGCTTCCCTCCCAACCCATGCCCACCCCCAGCTCCCAACCTCTATCTGAAGGATATAAAGACTGTTTTCTTGTTAGGGTCACAGTTAGCGATGCTAGAACACAAGGAAGGGAGTGTGGCTAAGATTTCAGGTCCTTTTTTTTTTTTTTGCATTAATTATTTTTATTTACAGAAACAGTTATTTACATTTAACCCAGTTTCGTGGCAAGTTCTTTAGCCTTTGCCTTTTCTAGCTTGGCGATGCGAGCCACAGACTTGGGACCCAGGACATTGCCTCCCCAGTGACGCCAGATCTCATCATATCTGTCATTGTAGTTGGTGCGGATAGCTTCCACCAGCTTGGCCAAAGCACCTTTGTCTTCCGAGTTAACGTGTGTGAAGGCGACAGTGGTGCAGGTCTTCCTATGAACTAGACGTCCCAGTCTTGCCTTCCCCTTGATGATGCAGTAAGGGACTCCCATTTTACTACAGAGGGCAGGCAAGAAGACAACCAGCTCAATGGGATCCACGTCGTGTGCAATCACCACCAGCTGAGCTTTCTTGTTCTCCACCAAGGTGGTGACGCTGTTAATTACTGCTCAAAGGACAGGTGGTCTCTTAGTGGAGATGTCCCCTTTGCCAGCCGCTTTTTTCTCGGCCCGGGCCAACAGCCTCTGCTTCTTTTCTTGCGTCATCTCTGGTCTATACTTGTGGGCCAGCTTAAGCAGCTGAGTAGCTGTTTGGCGGTCCAGGGCCTGTGTGAACTGGTTAATTGCAGGGGGCACTTTCAGCCGCTTATAGAGGATGGCTCTCTGCCGCTGCAACCTGATATAGCGGGGCCATTTCACAAAGCGGGTGAGGTCTCTTTTGGGCTGGATGTCTTGTCCAATGCCAAAATTTTTAGGCCTTTTCTCAAATAGTGGATTCACCACTTTCTTGGCCTCCTGCTTCTTCACAACAGCAGGGGCCGGAGCCACCTTCTTCCCCTTGGCCTTCTTTCCTTTCAGCATCTTGGGCGGCAGGAAGAGAGACGATTTCAGGTCTTTAAAAGAGAGATCTCTAAAATTCTTTGTTTATATTTATCAGTGAGAAGGTTGAATTTACATCTCAATGTATGAATAATTATGTATAAATTATTTACCCAGCAATTTCACTAATGTGATTTTTATTTTATTTTATTTATTTATTTATTTTGAGACATTCTTACTCTGTCATCCAGGCTAGAGTGCAGTGGTACGAGCTCAGCTTACTGCAACCTCTGCTTCCCGGTTCAAGCAATTCTCGTGCCTTGGCCTCCCTCGTGGCTGGGATTACAGTCATGTGCCACTGTGCCCAGCTAATTTTTCTATTTTTAGTAGACACAGAGTTTTGCCATGTTGGCCAGGCTGGTCTCAAACTCTTGGCCTCAAGTGATCCACCTGCCTGGGCTTCCCAAAGTGCTGGGATTATAGGCGTTACCCATCACACCTGGCCACTAATATGACATTCTTTTAAAAGAATGAGCCTCCCCCTTCCTGCGTCCCCCTACCCCAAAGTTCAAATATTTTTTTCTGTATTCTAATGAAGATGACTTTTGAAGCCACTGCTTTAGAAAATGCTTTTCATTGATATGGCGGAGGTTTGGGGGGAAAGAGTTTATAGATGATCTTGAGGTTGTCTGGGTTGTAGGTTCCTTTCTTTTCTTTTTTGTTTCTTTCTCTTTTTCTCTGTCTTCCCTTTCTTCCTTCCTTTCCTTCTTTCCTTTTTTCTTTTCTCTCTTCTTTCTCTTCTTTTCTTTCTACAGGAGCTCACTATGTTACTGTGTCACCCAGGCTAGAGTGCAGTAGTGTGACTGTAGCTCACTTCAGCCTTGATCTCCTTGGGGTCAAGTGATCCTTCCACCTCAGCTTCAGCTTCTCAAGTACCTGGGACTATAGGCATGCACCACCAGTAAAAGCTAATTTTTTAATTTTTATTTTTGGTAGAGATGGGTTCTCTCTACATTGCCCAGGCTGGTCTTGACCTCCTGGCCTCAAGTGATCCCACTGCCTCGGTCTCCTAAAGTATTGCGATTACAGGCACGAACGACCGTGTCTGGCCTTGCGGACACCTTTTTATTGCAGTTGTCCTCTTGACATTTTAGTAAAGAGTGAATTGTCCAGGGAAAGGCAGAACCCGACAGTCATTAAGAGGGGACTTTGTGTGGATGGCCCACAGGCAGTAAGGAAAGCTTTGGAGGGAGCATAGGAAAGTTTGCAGTAGGTATCTGAAGCAGTAGCATGGGTGCATTTTGTCACGTTCAACTCAGTGGGCACTCAGAAATCAGCTTGGCATTCATACAGACTTAGAGATTTCAATGCAGTGCTGCACATTCGTGTTTGAGCCACCAACTTCCTGCAGTAAGGAAACGAGTTCTTTGAACTGAAAGTGCTACAGGGCCATGAATATCCATTTTTAAGTTGCCATCTTGATACTTCCAATTTTGAAAGGGTAGAGATGGGCTGGTATCCTTATCTGAATGGATTTAAAAATTTCTCTTCCAGATGTTGCATCTTTTATTATACTTTCAGCTCTTCATCTACCTGACTCTTTTACTTAACTATGATATAAAGACATTTTTTAAAAAGTGACATTAGATCCAGCAAGATTTTTGCCAGAGCAGATAAACTGGAGTGATTTATTTAGGAAAAAGTTACCACGATGCAGTCCCACCAGAGGCAAACCTGGAGTTACATTTAGACAAGTCAATCTCTGAAGAACAGTGTAATTTGAGGTCATGTGACCTAACTCCTGAGGTCACCCAGAGCTTATGCTACAATCAGAAAAGGAAGAGATGCCCACGAGGCCAAATTTTAATTTTGTTATTTCCACATTTAGAAAAGTAGGAAGAATAAATTTTGCAGTATCGCAGTAGATTTAAAAACACTAGTTCCTTTTAAACTCTTTAAACAGACTTCAAACAACTTACTTTAAATTTTTTTCCAGCTTTATTATGGTATACTTGATAAGTCTATATATTTAAGGTATACAGCGTGATGTTTTGATACATATAGTGTGAAATGATTACCACAGTCAAGTTTAATAATTAACCACATATCCTTCACCTCACAATACGTGTGATTTCTTGTGTGTGTGGCGAGAATCCTTAAAATCAACTCTCAGCACATTTCAAGTATGCAATAAAATATTTACGATTGTCACCATGCTGTTAATCAGATTGCCTGCCTTGGTTAAAGTGCAGACTCAGGTGAAGTGAATGGAAGATGATAGTTTAATTGATATATACTCTAAAATAAATATAGCTATTTTTGCCCACCTAAGAACCTACTCATAAACTGTTAGCATTAAAAGGATGTAAGATATGATGTTTTCCCTTCACTTCTTTAACAGAAGTGGAAATGGAGGTGATGTAACTTGCTTGAGGTCACACAGGTAGTTAAGAGCAGAGAAAGGACTAGAGTCAGGACTGGTTTAGTGATTTTTAGTTTAGTGCATTTTAAATTTTTATCAGGTGATGCCTTAATCTTTGCATCTTCCAAATCCAGAAGCTAGGTTATAGAATAGCATATTTTATTTTAATATTACATTTATGAGATAGATATTCTTGGTTAAAGCTCTTTTTTAAAAAATAATTTCAACTTTTAGATTCAGAGGATACATGTGCAGGTTTGTGACATGGGTTTATTATATGGTGCCAAGGTTTGGGATGCAAATGATCCCATCACCTAGATAATGTAAAGTTCCTTTTAGAATGGTACATACAGATTTAATTCTGTCACTGAGAATGTTTCAGGAACTAATTGGAATTGGAAAATATCTTGCATTTGACTCGTTTTGTTTTTGGCATTTAGGTTTTCCTAGGACATTAGGACAAGCGGAAGCCCTGGACAAAATCTGTGAAGTGGATCTAGTGATCAGTTTGAACATTCCATTTGAAACACTTAAAGATCGCCTCAGCCGTCGTTGGATTCACCCTCCTAGTGGAAGGGTATACAACCTGGATTTCAATCCACCTCATATACATGTAAGAATATACAAAGTGCTTTCACAACCTGACAAGAAAAAGACAAACAATTTCCATTGAAAAGTGGAGAAAAGGATATGAGTAGACCATTCAAAAAAGAACAAATCTACATAACCAAAAAACATTTTTAAAATGTTCCAATTGAGTATTTGAAAAAGAATTATTGTTCTTTCTGATAAAGACTATTTGGTTTATGATAAAGAGTATCTGATAAAGACAGATTGAGCTGTCTTTATCATACTGAACTCCAGTTTTGGGTACTAGATAGTATTGCTTGTTATCATCCAAACGTGGAATACATGGCATTGTGTCTTACTAGGTTAATCTTTATGGAAATATTACACTTGAATATACAGAAAATTACTTCAAGGGACTAAGAATGGCTTCCCAACTCCTGGGTGCCATTGTGTCAGTAAAGTCCCAATGAGACTTTCTCACTTGAGTAAAGCACTCGTTTTGAAGTCTTTTGTTAAAAATGTAAAAGGTAACCAGGCCTTTTGGCCTGGTAAGTCAAGGCTGTGGTGCGCTGTGATTGTGCCACCGCACTTCAGCCTGGGTGACAGAGTAAGACCTAGTCTCCCGCCCCCCTCCAAAAAACATTGACATTCTGTAATTCTTTTATTAGATCCCTTCCTGATATCTATCTGGAGAAGCTATGATAGGGGAAAAAATGGATGGGAGAAAAAAAGGAGTTCTGACAATACAGATGAGAACACTGAAATCCAGCCCAGATGCTTTATATTTTGGCTTTGTCCTGATCTGCTGATCAAGAGATTCTCATAAAATTTGAAAAGCCTTACAACTGAGTTGCTTTTCACAGCCTCAGTTTTCCTAAAAGAACATCTCCAATTACCATGCTGTTTTTGAAGACCATAGTGAAAGTGCTAATCTAGACCAACACTACCAGCCGTGGTGAAGCAGCTCTGTTGTCTGGGGTATATACCCTGGGGTTCGTCATGTCTCACCAGGAACATTTAGGACATGGACACACATGAGAAGTTTAGGAGCAGAGGTTTAATAGTCAGAAGAGAAGGGAAAGAGAAACGGCTCTCTCTATAGAGATAGAAGGGAGTCCAAGTGGAAAAGACCAGCTGGTGGTGGATGCTCCGGATTTTATAGTCCATGGTGAGGAGGTCTGATTTACATAGGGCTCACAGATTGGTTGGATCAGGCATGATGTTTACATAATGCTGGGGAGTGGAGGGGGAAGGCTGGTCTCCCCACCCTAATCTTACTATGCAAATGTAATCTCCTTTGCCTGCCCCATCTTGTCTGCTCCTTGCTGTACACATGGCTGACAAAGAGAAGGGAAGATGGAGCCGCCATCTTGAACATGTCCGGGGAAGCTCCCAGCTTGCTTGTCTGTGCAGCTGGACTTTACAGGCTGCTCTTTGTTCAGAAATGATTTGGGCTGCTTTTCATTAAAGAGAAAAGCCTTACTGAGGACTCCCATCCCCTTATTATCTGCCTACGTGATTTCTTCTGAACTCCTGTATCCATCAGTGGTGGCCAGGTTCCCTGGGAAGGGGGGATGCTGTGGCTCTACCATCATTCCGCTTTCTGGAAACGGTTGTATTTGCTGATGCTCTGAAATTCTGGGAATCGCTTTCTGAGCCTTGTGGATGTAAGCATAATAAAGTCGGCGGCAATAGAGGTAATATACAGCCTTCTCCCATCCCCATCTCTCTTGTCATGTTGGGTTAACAACCATGGAATACACGTGATAATTACCTAGCTCACTCATAAATCATAAGAATAAGTCTTATACCCAAGGCTCTGAGCTGTAATGGGATTTTAGTGTGTTTCAAATTTATAGCCAGTTTCTGATTATCCAATTGAGTTGCCTGCATCTCTCGGTTCTGGCCTACCTTTTGTCAGATTTATTTCTTGTGACTATCTCCCCTGGTGAGTAATAATCATGGATGTGAGAGGCAAAATTCAAAACCTGTCCATTTTGTAATTTCTAAGGAGGTATGGTAGTTCCTGGGGAGATTAAAACAAATTTAAAATCAAGGGTGTGTGTGTGTGTGTGTGTGTGTGTGTTTTAATTATAGATTTTCAGTTCTTAGAATGTTTGAGGCAAAATTCAAAACCTGTCCATTTTGTAATTTCTAAGGAGGTATGGTAGTTCCTGGGGAGATTAAAACAAATTTAAAATCAAGGGGGTGTGTGTGTGTGTGTGTGTGTGTGTGTGTGTGTGTTTTAATTATAGATTTTCAGTTCTTAGAATGTTTGTCCCTGATTGTCACGGGTATTTGAGTCATTCCTATTTTAATACACCTTTAAATGTGTCATTAAAAAATATTTTCAGGCCAGGCGTGGTGGCTCACGCCTGTAATCCTAGCACTTTGGGAGGCCGAGGTGGGTGGATCACCTGAGGTCAGGAGTTCAAGACTAGCCTGGCCATCATGGAGAAACCCCATCTTTTTTTTTTTTTTTTTTTTTT